ACTCCCTACTGGATGGCTCCAGAGGTAATAAATGAGTCTGGCTATGGCAGGAAATCAGACATCTGGAGCGTTGGCTGCACCGTGTTTGAGATGGCGACAGGCAAACCCCCTCTGGCTTCCATGGACAGGGTGGCAGCCATGTTCTACATCGGGGCCCACAGGGGGCTGATGCCGGCCCTGCCCGATCACTTCTCCAGCGCTGCCGTGGAGTTTGTGCACGCCTGCTTCACCAGGTATGGAGGCCTTGAACTGCAGGATGAAATGGAAAATGCAGGCAGTTTGTATTCTAGAGATGGCTCATGGGAGCTTGGCTTATGGTACATGTGACCTTATTGTAAATGCATAAGCTTTTCAGCATTTCAGGAAAGCCTTTGGGTAAAAGTATATATAAAAGAGCTTTACTCTTTATAATGGTATGAAAAAGCCCTCACCAATTCTCTTTTTGTAGGTCTTATAATTTACTTTTACTGTAATTTTAATGCAGAAACATGGCACCATTGAGTTTTGGACAAAATGTTTGATAAATTTCTTTGCTGTGCTTTCCTGTTCCAGTATTGTTTTATTTGGTCTCTAAAAGACAAGGTTTTTTTTAAGGACAGTATTCTAAATGGAAGAGCTTTCACTTAATTCTTGTCTTCTGCAGTGGAAAAATCTATTATCATTGCCAGTCCAGGAAACACTTACTTACTTGAAAGATAATACTTACTAGAAACATAAAGTTCTCTCTGTAAAACCCCAAACCACTAGCACTCACACATCTTAAGAATCATTTTTGTGTTGTTTGTTTTGTTTTAAACAAAGCCATGAACTTCTTTACATGCATGACATTGATTGGAGATGACAGGACAACCTGATTGACATAGGCTTGAACAGATAATTATCACCTTTCTTAAATACATTTTTGGTGCACCTGAAATAGCCAAAACAGCAGAATTATTCAAAGATTTGCAAGGAATTCAGGGGAATAAGTAATGATTTCTTTTATAATAAATACTTCAGTTTAATAATTCATAAATTCCAACAGTCTTTTCTCTTCTAGCCTCCCTTCTCTCAGCTTTATCAAAAAAACCCTAAAAATGAGTAGTGAATGGAGAAATATGGAAATAATTAAAAAAAGGCTAATTTTGCAATTGGGGGTTTACAATTACATCACAGGCATACATATTCATTTTACATACTAATTTGTGAAACCTTCAATGCAGAGATCAACAAGAACGGCCTTCTGCTCTGCAGTTGCTGGACCATCCCTTTGTGAAAGGAAGACGGTGAATTTTTCAAAACTCTTGCCAAATGAGCATGTGTTTTCCATGGAAAAGATTTTCACTTGTGAAAAAAAGACCAGAAGGAACTGGACTTTCATGTGACAGCAGAAATACTGGAGAGCAGTTGTATTCAAGGAGTCTGTTCTGCAATGCCTGTCCCTCACAGTGAACAGCAGGCCACCTTGTGTTGTATTTGGAGAGACTTAAGGGAAAATAAAGTCACTATCAGTGGCATGTGACAGGCCAGGTAAGCTGGAATGTCTGTAAAATGCTATGGAACACAAGCTATGGGCAGAGAGCTCTGCAGGTAACTCCATCTTGGAGATGAGTAATGAGTGTGATGATCCCACATGTGAACCTCAGACCATCTACTGGCATAAAATGTACTGAGGCTTTATTCAGTCAGGTGGGCCCTTTTGTTTAACTGGACTTTCACTTCACTTTTTAGCTGAAAGTGAGTAAGTTTTTTACATACATGGATGAGCCCTGTGTTCCTGAGGCCCCGTATCTCCACGAGATACTGTGGTGGTAATGGTCGAGATAATGATCTAAACCACGGGGCTGCCTGTTTTAAATGAAGTAGTGCATTTTATGGGCACTTTCAGGTCGCAGAAGGTTGAGGTTGGAAGGGGCTCTGGAGATGCTCTGGTCCAGCCCCACTACTCAGAGCAGGGCTGACTGAAGCAGGGTGCTCAGGTCCTTGTCCCATTGATTTTATGGATGGAGACTCCAAAGCCACTCCAGGCAACATGCTCCAGTCTTTCACCCCCCACAAGACAGAAATGATTTCAGGTCAAGTTGTCCCATTGTTCCTTGTCCTGTCACTGTTAGCACTGCAGAGTCTGGCTCTGTCTACCTTACTGTCCCCATGGGCTGCTGGTACTCACTGAAAACCTGAAATGCTTCTCCAACCACTTGAGTGAGCACTGTCTGTGACTGGGTGACACAGACAGAGCCCCTCTGCACTCCAATCTTTACACTTAGTAGAACAAGCTACTACGAACTGAACAAAATTAAATAAAATCTGAAAAGCTTTATTAAGTATTAATAAAGCAAAAAAAACAGGTATTAGTATTTAGAATGCCCTTTTGTTGAGAAGATTTCTTCCTATCAAAGTGGGGTAAATCTTCTGCTTTTTTGGAGCACCCAGGCTCCAGGAAGAGAGGCAGTAAAACTCAGCCCTACAAGTGTCCAGAGCTGAGCTCTCAGGAATCCAAGACCCTGATTTCAGTGCCAGCAGTATTATGAACATTTGTGTTTTACAAATGGGAAAGAAGGCAGTTCTATATTTTATATAAAACCAACTTTCCTCAGAGTGCTAAACATCTTAGTTGCTTAAATAGGTTTCAAACTTAATTTTATTCCAGTAGCTTGACTTTAGAGAGTTAAGTCTAAACTTTATGAAAGCAAAGAGAAATCGGTACTTCTAGCAAAATTCTTTATTAATAGTTTCTGTAGATATAATGTCACATAACAATGACAGAACATTATGCCAGTATAAGATAAATCCTAACATCACAGTAATCTTCAAAGTTCAAGCAGTTAACAGTCCTTTTTTGAGTATTGTTTGGTGTTCATGCCAGACATCCATGGCAACATCATGTTAAAGTATCTTCACGTTAAAGTACCTCGCAGAATAAAGGCAGGAGCCCGGGCATGTGAGCTCTAGTGGGATGTACATAATTCCATGATGTGTACTAATTCTTCTCAGATTAAGGTAGAGTCTTCAACAAAGCTGCAAAGTAAATATGAGGGTTTATTTATCATGAAATGAAGCTGAGATGAGAGTCATAAGCAAGGAAAGAATGGGAATGCTTTAAAATATATAATTAATTAAAAAAAGGTCAGCATTACAAACTCCCCTTATGCACATCTTATAAGCAAAACTAACATCTGTAACTTATTAAGAGTTCTCCAATATTAAGGTTACCATTTATTTGCAATTTGTCATGTTTAATCCAGTTAATTACACTGAAAGTAATCGTTAGAGGTTTGTAAAACTTGAACCTGAGTTTTTAATCAAAATGTGAAAGCACATTTTTGCTTTTGCTAAACCAGACTTCAAGAATGAGGTGTCAGTTTAAGGCCAGCACTTGCAACAAAGGTATTTCAGTTTAATCAGAGCTGTGCTTGCAGCAGAGCTCAGGGCCCAGCACAGCTAAACCAAGCCCGATGTTAGTCTGGGGAGCCTTGTGTCGCTTGGCTGAGCCTGTCTGCTGGAGCAGTCTAGAAACAAGTCTAACTTTGCACATTTCTTATTTGAGGAGATCAGAGATTTTCACACCAAAATCCAGGTGCCTAATTACAGGTATCCAATGTAACAAGGGGAAAGGGTGTGAAATCCTGAAAAACACCTTTTTCATGGGACCCTGAGCGATTCAGTGAGCAGGGTCACACTTTGCTTCATTATTTATAGCATTGGGGCAGGGCACCCCTTGCTGGTTTAAAAACTACAGCCTTCCTTTCTGAAACCAGTAAGGAGCCATTACAGTGCATGCAGCCTGCCTAGCACTTGCTGTGACTGCAGGTTTCCTCAAGATTAGAAACTCAAATCTCAGCAGCTGAAGGTACAGCCCTGTCCTGGTATTATTGTAGGGTTACCCAGGGTTTCTGTCACGGTAACGGGAGCCCTGGTCACTTCTCAGAAGGGAGGAGCCACAGGCAGCCAACCCAGCTATGTTACACTGCTCTTGGAACTACCACCAACACTAGGATGTAAAAATTTGCATCTAAAAAATCCTCTCTTTCCAAGGAAGCAGAGTGTGGTCCCCAAAATACGAGTCTCTTGAGATTATTTGGGTTCAAATTTAGCGCCATTCCACAAACTCAGTGGGAACCAATGCAATTTCTACACCATTCCTATCAAACTTCTGGTTCCTGCACACAGGGAGAGAACTGGAGTTCTCCCAAGGAAGGGCCCTCAGGACACACTCCAGTGCCTCTTCTCCCCTATTTTCCCCTTCCCACAGGGACCAGCACCATGGGACAGCTCAGGAATTTTAGGTGTTGTCAAAGAACACAATGTCTGAACTATGGCAACACCAATGTAACTGCTCCAAGTGCAGGGCTATAGTACCCAAACTGTAAAACCCAAGCAGTGAGTCTCAAGGTTATAAATTTAGTTTGGATTTGTTATATCCACTTCAAAAGCCAGAGAAACAATCATTCCCAGTAGCAGTGGGAGAGAAGACTCCTGGTACTAATTATCTCTTTAAGGTGTAAGGAGTTAAGCCTTTCAGAGAATGGAGGAATTAACTAGCTAGTTTAGGCTGGCATCACTTCCAAGGCTCAATACATCAATTTTTAGAACTTAAGTGTATTTACATCAAATTAAAGACAGCAAACTATTTGTCCAATCAACTTCCCTGCAAAACAAGGATTGGGAACCCTTCCTGTAAGATCTTTGAAAGAAAATGGTGTGGCGCTGTCACCCACCCCCTCACTGCTGAAAAGAAAAATAATAATAAAAACCCCTCCACCATCAGACCTGGCCAGGCTCTGCCCACAAGGTAGAGAGAAGGAGCAGCTTAAATGGCACAAAATGTCTAGAATTTGCTTTCCAGGTACCAAATACCTGATCAATGTAATGGAAATAAAGGAAACAAGTAAGACTTCAGACTTTCCAGCATTCCATTATTTGAATGATTTGATGACAACTAGCACTGTTTTGCTAATAACTGAAAGGGGATCTTAGTGTTTACTAACAGAGTTGGAAAAATTAAACATAGGAAAATGGGA